ATACAAAGGAAGAGAAACATCGGAAACATAGATCAACCGGAAAACAAGAGATAAAATGGCAATATTAAGCCCTCATATATCAATAATCACTCTGAATGTAAATGGATTGAATTCTCCAATCAAAAGACACAGAGTAGCTGGATGGATTAAAAAACAAAATCCAACAATATGTTGCCTCCAGGAAACACATCCCAACTCTAAAGACAAACATAGGTTCAGAGTGAGGGGATGGAAGGCGATACTCCAAGCTAATGGCAAACAAAACAAAGCAGGTGTTGCCATACTTATATCAGAAAAACAGAATTCAAGTTAAAAAAGACAATGAGAGAAAAAGAGGTACAGTATATAATGATAAAGGGGACTTTCCACCAAGAGGACACAACACTTATTAATATATATGCACCCAACACAGGGTCACCAAAATACATAAAGCAACTATTAACAGACCTAAAGGGAGAAATTAGCAGCAACACAATAGCAGTAGGGGACCTCAACAGCCCACTTACATCGATGGATACATCATCCAGACAGAAAGTCAATACACAAATAGTGGACTTAAATGAAAAACTAGACCAGATGAACTTAATACATATATACAGAGCATTCCATCCAAAAACAGCAGAATACACATTCTTCTCATGTGCACATGGATCATTCTCAAAGATAGACCATATGTTAGGAAACAAGGCAAAACTCAATAAATTTAAGAAGATTGAAATGATCCCAAGCATCTTTTCTGACCACAGTACTATGAAACTGGAAATCAACTATAAGAAAAAAGCTGGGAAAGTCAGAAATATACGGAGACCAAACAACATGCTACTGAATTACCATTGGATCACTGAGGAAATCAAAGGAGAAATTTAAAAAGTACTTGGAGACAAACAAAAATGAAAATACAACATACCAAATCCTCTGGGTTACAGCAAAAGTGGTCATAAGAGGGAAATTCATAGCAATACAGGCCCACATCAACAAACAAGAAAAATCTCAAATAAGAAACCTTAAACTGTGCCTAATATAACTAGAAAAAGAAGAACAAACAAAGCCCAAAGTCAGCAGAAGGAGGGAAATAATAAAAATCAGAGCAGAAATAAATGAAATAGAGACTAAAAAAACAGTAGAACGGATTAATGAAACCAAGAGCTGGTTCTTTGAAAAGATAAATAAAATTGACAACTGTTAGCCAGACTCACCAAGAAAAAAAGAGAGAAGGCTCCAATAAATAAAATTAGAAAGGAAAGAGGAGAAGTTACAACAGATTCTGCAGAAATACAAAGGATTGTAAGAGAATACTATGAAAAACTATATACCAACAAATTGGGTAACCTAGAAGAAATGGATAAATTCTTAGACTCATACAACCTCCAAAAACTGAATCAAGAAGAAATAGAAGATCTGAATAGACCAATCACAAGTAAAGAGATTGAAACAGTAATCAAAAACCTCTCCAAAAACAAGTGTTCAGGACCAAATGGCTTCTCTGGAGAATTTTACCAAACATTCAAAGAAGATATAATATCCATCCTTCTAAAGCTATTTCAAAAAATCAAAGAAGACGGAATGCTTCCTAACTCATTCTATGAGGCCAACATTACCCTGACACCAAAACCAGACAAGGACAACACAGAGAAGTAAAATTACAGGCCAACATCACTAAAGAACATAGATGCAAAAATCCTCGACAAAATATTGGCAAACCAAATACAGCAATTCATTAAAAGGATCATACACCATGATCAAGTGGGATTTATTCCAGGGGCACAGGGATGGTTTAACATCTGCAAATCAATCAATGTGATACACCACCTTAACAAAATGAAGAATAAGAACCTCACGATCATCTCAACAGATAAAGAGAAAGCATTTGACAAGATCCAACATCCATTTATGATGAAAACTCGACAAAATGGGTAGAGAAGGAAAGCACCTCAACATAATAAAGGCCATATATGACAAACGCACAGCCATAATCATTCTTAATGGTGAAAAACTGAAAGCCATCCCTCTCAGAACAGGAACAAGACAAGAGTGCCCACTCTCACCACTCCTATTCAATATAGTACTGGAGGTTTTGACCAGAGCAATTAGGCAAGAAAAAGAAATAAAAGGAATCCAAATTGGAAAGGAAGAAGTGAAACTCTTTCTGTTTGCAGATGACATCATCCTATATTTAGAAAACCCTGAAGAATCCATCAGCAAACTATTAGAAATAATCAACAACTACAGCAAAGTTGCAGGATACAAAATCAACTTCCAAAATCACTTGCATTTCCATACACTAACAATGAACTAGCAGAAAGAGAAATCATGAGTATAATCCCATTTACAATCACAACAAAAAGAATAAAGTATTTAGGAATAAACTTAACCAAAGAGGAGAAAGACCTATACACTGAAAACTATAATACATTATTGAAAGAAATTGAAGAAGACACAAAGAAATGGAAAAATATCCCATGATCATGGGTTGGAAGAATCAACATAGTTAAAATATCCATACTACCTAAAGCAATCTACAGATTCAACACAATCCCAATTATAGGCCCAATGACATTCTTCACAGAAATTGAACAAAGAATCCTAAAATTTATATGGAATGACAAAAGACCCCAAATAGCCAAAGCAAACCCAAGAAAAAAGAACAAAGCTGGAGGCATCACAATCCCTGACTTCAAAATATATTACAAAGCTACAGTAATCAAAACAACATGGTACTGGCACAAAAACAGACACACAGAGCAATGCAACAGACTTGAAAACCCAGAAATGAAACCACACATCTATGGACATCTAATTTTCAAAAGGGGAGCCAAGAACATACAACGGAGAAAGGAAAGTCTCTTCAATAAATGGTGTTGGGAAAACTGGACAGCCACATGCAAAAGAATGAAAGTAGACTGTTATCTTGCACCATATACAAAAATTAACTCAAAATGGATTAACGGCTTGAATATAAGACCTGAAACTATAAAACTCCTAGAAGAAAATATAGGCAGTACATTATTTGACTTTGATCTTAGCAGCATCTTTTCAAATAACATGTCTGACCAGGCAAGAGAAACAAAAGAAAAAGTTAACAAATGGGACTACATCAGACTAAAAATCTTCTGCAAAACAAAGGAAACCATGAACAAAACCAAAAGACAACCCACTAACTGGGAGAAAACATTTGCAAATCACCTATCTGACAAGGGGTTGATCTCCAAAATATATAAAGAATTCATTCAGCTTAACAACAATAAAACAAACAACCCAATCAAAAAATGGGCAGAGGATATGAACAGACGTTTTTCCAAAGAAGATATACAGATGGCCAACAGGCACATGAAAAGATGCTCAACATCACTAGTTATTAGGGAAATGCAAATCAAAACGACAATGAGATATCACCTTACACCTGTCAGAATGGCTATAATTACCAAGACAAAGAACAATAAACGTTGGAGAGGATGTGGAGAAAAGGGAACTCTCATGCGCTGCTGGTGGGAATGCAAACTGGTGCAACCACTATGGAAAACAGTATGGAGATTTCTCAGAATATTAAAAATAGAAATACCATATGATCCAGCTATTCCACTACTGGGCATTTATCCAAAGAACTTGAAATTAATCATCCAAAGAGATCTATGCACCCCCATGTTCATTGCAGCATTATTCGCTATAGCCAAGATATGGAAGCAACCCAAGTGTCCCTCAACTGATGAGTGGATAAAGAAGATGTGGTATATATACACAATGGAATACTACTCAGCCATAAAAGACAAAATCATCCCATTTGCAACAACATGGATGGACCTTGAAGGTATGATGTTAAGTGAAATAAGCCATAGAAAGACAAATATTCCATGATTTCACTCACATGTGGACTATAACAAATACATGGATAAAGAGAACAGATTAGTAGTTACCAGAGGGGAAGGGGGGGGTGAGTGAAAGGAATAAAGGGGCACATATGTGTGGTGATGGACAATAATTAGACTACTTGGGGTGACCACGATGAAGTCTACTCCAAAAATGATAAATAATAATGTATACCCAAATTTTCACAGTGTTATAACCCATCATTATTTCAAGAAAGTTACTGAGGGAAAAAAACACTTTCAAAACATACTACAGTTTTTCTAAACTGTTTTCGCATTTATTCAGTTTTTATCTACCAGAAGTCTCAAGAGAAGTGGACTCAAATCTTTCTTGACCTACAGGAGCAGGTTATGATGCTTTGGGGCTTGGTCCTGAGAGCCATGGATGATTTAGTTTCGAAGCTTTTTAAGACTTATATATAAATTCACAGGTCAGAAAATCCTCTGTCAGGCCACTTGTTCCTACTTTTTGCTTTCAGAAAATAAGACCACAGTTACGTGAAATGTATCAATTTTTGAACTTATCAGGTATTGGAAGACCTGGACGTCATGAAGCTTTTTGTAAAACACTATGAAATAATGCTCTATCACACTTAACTAATTCTAGGATTTTTGGGTTAAATTCCCTGTTGTATATCCTAAAGGGCAACTAGTGTCACATACTTAATAAATTTTGATTTGACAAAAAAAAAAAAAAAGGATTTTACAACCAAATGGTTCTATTTTACTTTATGTCATCCTGATCACCAAGAAGCCTCTAATGAGGAACAGTTCCTGGTCAATCTATCCCAGATGACTCTGTTAGGAGCCTTTAATGGCCACTTTGGGTCTGAGATGATGTCAGGAAATGAATGACATCACACCTCGTCTCCAGGCTTCCCAAACCTCCCCCATGTTTGGTGCCGTCTCTTCAAGGGTGGAGGAGAACCAGAAAATCTATCATAGGCTGTTAACTCGATCAAGGACTCATCATTCCCCTGGGCAGCTGTGGGGCCTGTGGGTAGAGAAGGAGAGGTCTGAGATCAGGGGTGGGAGGAAGAGGAGAAATATTTCTCCTGGCCACCAAACACAGGTTCTCCACTAGGGGAACACCACCCCCCATCCCCAACCTCCATATCTGGGGATGTTTGAAAAACTATGACAGTATTTCCTTTTTTTCTTGTTAAACAATGATTGGGGCTTCAAATCCTGTTTAATGGGAAAGATAAAGTGATGCTAAATGTTCCCACAATGAACAGGACAGTCCCATACGGGAAAGAAATATCCCACCTAAAATGCCATTTGTGCCCATTTTGAGAAACATAAGAAGTCCCCGAGGTAAACTCTGATGTTTAAAGAACCCCATCACTACAATAGCCCATAAAAAAGACAAGTGCTCAGTTGTTTTACCTGGATCCACGTGGAGACTCCTTCTGGCTACACCAGGCTTCAACCAGGAGAGCCCCCATAATAACCATAATTATGGCAGCCAGACCCAGTCGGATGAGGTTCCCCATGGTGTAGTCTCTTGATGTGGCATCTGGGGAAACCAAAAGAGAGAAAAGGGTCAGCACCAGCCCTAAGATGGTATCCCTCCTTCTCAAATGGATCTGCCAAACGTGACTCTCACACACCCACTTGTATTTCCTGGGCAGTGGTCAGCAGTACCTTCATTGATGTTTTCATCACTAACAACATGTGGGATTTTGTGAGAGTTGTAGTGGTTTTTCCTTCATCTTCTTCCCTTCATATTCACTCTGTCTTATCACTATACTTTCATTTATTTGCTCCTTAACTCATTTCCACCTTCCCATATTTCTTCTTTCCTGTCTCCCAACATATATATTAGGAATCAGGCTTAGGAGTCACATTAAAGACCTAAGGAGCACCACAGAACAGTGACATTCAGTGGCTGGTTCAGCATCCTCAATGCAAATCTTAATTTTATGCAGGCAATGAGTTTTTAAAAACTTTGAGCTTCATAGCTAAGTATCTGGGTCATTGTGCATTTTAGCTTCACTCAAGAAGGGCTCAAACTTGGCGTTGTCCCTGGTTGCTGAATAGAAGGCTACATTTACCTTGTCCCACCTCACACATCCAATTAGTGCAAAGTTCATCTCCAAACCCATCAACAACATGTTCCCTGGAGACAAAATCCAGACGGAGAAATATGTAATGACACCACCATTATTAGGAATCCCTCTCCACTTCTTAGCACTAGCCATATGGACTTTGATTCTGATTAAAACATTCACTGACTACATGGGAAGACTCAACAGCATAAAAGAATTTTCACAACACCGAGGAATAAGACAGTATAGCCTCCAATGAAGCAGAATTCTGGCAGAATACAGAAGATAGTTTTAGAAGATACTGCATGTGTGACACTAAAGTGGGAGGCTGTGGAAGCAGCACGTTCTAAGTAAAAGAGGTGCTGGGAATAAGATCATCATCACCAAGATAAACTAACACATTAAGAGATGGGTTGTAATTAGTATTTTGGTGGTGAACATGATGTAGTCCATGCAGAAATAGAAGTACAATGATGTACACCTGAAATTTTTACAATGTTATAAACCAATCTTACTGCAATAAACAAAAAATTAAAAAATAAAATAAAATAAAATAAAATAATCACCAAAAAAAGAAAAAAAAAAGAGATGCAGAGAATGACAGAAGGAATTCTGATGATGGTGGGATTGATAATTTTGAAGAACAACTTGAGAAATCATCCAAGAATGTAGAACAAAAAAGGCGAACGAGGGCCGGCCTGGTGGTGCAAGCGGTTAAGTGTGCGTGCTCCGCTGCGGCAGCCCGGGGTTCGCTGGTTCAGATCCCGGGCGCGCATCCGACGCACCGCTTGTCAAGCCCTGCTGTGATGGCATCCCATATAAAGTGGAGGAAGATGGGCATGGATGTTAGCCCAGTGCCAGTCTTCCTCAGCAAAAAAAAAAAAAAAGAGGAGGATTGGCAGATGTTAGCTCAGGGCCGATCTTCCTCACAAAAAAAAATAAATAAAAGGAAAAGGAGTAGAAATCATGCAAGGAAAGATTTAAAAAGGAAATAGTAGTGAAAATGTCAGAGAAACAAGACTCAGAAAGTAATAGAACAAATGATCTTTGATTAAAAACAAACTTCCTAAAAATCGTGCAAAATCTTACCTGTCACCCAGATCGTGAGGTGATCACTGGGCTGTGAGGCCCAGAAAGGATCCCTTGTCCAGTAGTACACACAGCTGTAGTTCCCAGTGTTGTTGACTGTCACATTCTGTAGAGAGAAGTCTATCTCCTTCCATGCTGGACCCCTGAGCTGGATGGGCATTGAACTTCCTGCCTTCAGTAGAGCAAACATTACAAGCCAAACAATATTGCCTGGCTTCTGGCACCTCAGGGTCACCTTTTCTCCTGTGGTCACCTTACCCCTTTGGTGAGTTTGGAGGGAAGGTTTAGGAAAATCTCCTGTAAGAGAAGGAAGGCTCTGAGGTCGTGGGGAAAAGCCTGGGGTCCCTCATCCACCTGTGTCCTCCTGGCAGGGGGTTCTCATGGAGAGTGGGGAATGACAGATGCCTCATCTTTCAGCTCTGACTCCAGGAATGAGATTCTCCCTCCTATCAGTCTGGATAAAGCAAAGGTAATCAACTCTGTTCCTGTCTTTCTCCATCTCCTTCCCCAAGTGCACTGGAGATGAGATCCCCCCGCCCCCTCTCTCCTTCTCAGTCCTCCCTCATCCCCTGTCCCTAGGAAGACCATATATCATTCTGGGGCCCCCTCCTCACCTGTCACCAGCAGTAGAAGTACATCACTGGGCTGTGCACTTATGTGGGGGCTCCCTGTTCTGTAGTATTCACAGGTGTACTCTCCAGTGTTACTGGTTTCTAGATCAGTGAGGTGAAATTCACCCAGGCCCTCTACAGAATCGGGTGATTGCAAGGACTCCAAAGGAGTTCCTCCCTTTCTGAGAGCAAAGTTTACACCCTTGGTAGGAGTCCAGCATCGCAGTGTCACGTTACTCTTGGCAGGTACCACTGAGCTGGGCCAGGCACTGAGAGAGGGCTTGGGAAGTGACCCTGGAAGGAAGAAGAGTCCAGGGCTGGATTTGATTCACTCACTTGCTCTCAGGAATCCCATTTAAAGAAGGAAAAGGAAAATGGGGCCTTGGGTGTGAAGGATCAAGGAAGATTTAACAGAAGAAACACTCACCATTTCCTATTATGAGTCTTTGGCCAACACACAGCTCTGCAAAAGAATGGTCCATGAGACATAGGAACCTGCCAGGAGCTCACACCATCACCTGCCCTGAGCCCGGAGGAACCACCCCAATGACTCTTACTGAGAACAGATCTCTGGATATCATGCATTTGAGAGTTCTCGTTTTTCCTCAGCTGGACTCTGGCTTCAGCTCTTCACTCAGTTCCTCCATCATTTCTCACAGAGGTTCTCCTGTGCTGCTGTCACCTCCCAAGGCTGCAGGGCCTCTTTGGTTTCACAAAAGTCTACAAATCCTCGCTTTCTCAGCTTCCATCCTGAACCATTCAGTCTTACCGTTTCTATTAGGGCCTGCAGTACATTTCGTAGATCTCTCAATATTGGGTAAGAGGCACTAACCATGAGCGACATTGAGGAAGTCTGTGACTGGGTGTAACCCTATCTTATCTCCCAAAGTTATCTAAGGTCCTAAGTGGCCATTAGAGTCCCCTGAGAGTGTCATCTGGGATAGAGTGACCATGAAACCTCCCCCACAGTAAAGACTACTTGGTGCTCAGAATGACATAAATTGAGACAGAATCATTTGGTTGTATAATCTTAGGAGAGTTTATGTACCTCATGCCATGGGAGATATAAGGCGTCCCTAGCCTGTAAACATCTGTAAGGAGCCACTCTATGCTGTTCACTTCAGCATCTCCAATGTCTACACACAACCTGGCACGTAGTAAGACTCAACAAATGCACGTTGACTGACTGATGAGATGCCCTGGGTTAAGCATGACTCAGAGAAATTTTTCAAGGATGACAAAAAGACACAAACTTATAATAATGTCCTTTCTTCATCCCATCAGATAGATGAGCTTGAAAGGAATGAAAGCCCTATGGCATACCCTAGAATCTAGGGAACAGAAAACATGGTGAAGACAGAATTACATCACTGTGACCCAATCAAGCTAAGACCACACACTGTCCCTGTGCCTGGAGAACAGGTTTTCTTGGCTCCTGCAAACCGACACCCTAAGATGCCCCCAATTCCACACTCAGGGACATTTTGAATCTCTCCTCATTTATCACCTTAGAATTTCCCCAATGCAGCATCTGCTTACTTACCCCAAAGACATTTCCACTCAGAAGGTCGTGTACGTGTGTCACTCTTTTTTTTTTTTTAATTTTTTGTTTATTGCAGTAACATTGGTTTATAACATTGTAAAAGTTTCAGGTGTACATCATTGTACTTCTATTTCTGCATAGATTGCATCATGTTCACCACCAAAATACTAATTACAACCCATCACCACACACATGTACCGAATTATCCCTTTCACCCTCCTCCCTCCCCCCTTCCCCTCTGGTAACCACCAATCCAATTGGATTCGTGTGTCACTCTTAATATCCCACTACGACCGAGTGGAAACAGCAATGAATTTGGAGCCAGACAGACATAAGTTTGAATTTTGACTTTTCTGTTCATTCTCTTGTGATCCAGAACAGAAATCCTCAGCTCTCAGGGTCAGAGTCCTCATTTATCCATTGGGGCCTAATTCTAATCAAGCAGGATTCTTTGGAGGGACCAGAGTGATATTTCCCACAGTGTGGAATATGAACCACAGATATTATAGCAGATGACTTTAGGTGGTGCAATGACCCAATATTCTATAAAATTGATCAAGGAATCAGCAAGTTATTGTCCTTTCAGATCACTTTTATCTCTTTGATCACAACTAGGAGAATTTTTCAAGCTAAAGATTAACATTTGCAGACAACTCTCTCTGGCTTATTGCCCTTTATAATAAGGAAGTAGTTGGCCATGGGCTCAGAAACTTGATGGGCAACAGCACATGATTAGAATGTCCTCATGTTTTCTTCCTTTTCATTGTATATATGTTTACATTAACTTTCTATTTTTGGTAAATGACACTGGATTTTCTTTTAAAATTTATTTTTTATTTAAGCTATTGGCATAGTTTCCATCTTCAAGTGGGTATACTTATTTAAAATAAAGATATTGAGGGGGCCGGCCCAGTGGCATAGTGGCTAAGTTTGCACACTCTGCTTCAGTGGCCCAGGGTTTGCTGGTTTGGATCCTGGCCATGGACCTATGCACCACTCATCAAGCCATTCTGAGGTGGCATCCCACATAGAGCAACTAGAAGGATGCACAACTATGCCATACAACTATCTACTGGGGCTTTGGGGAGAAAAAGGGGAAAAAGGAGGAAGATTGGCAACAGATGTTAGCTCACGGCCAATCTTCCTCAAAAAAAATAATAAAATAAAATATTAAGTCAATAAAAAAATTTAAATAAATAAAGAAAGTAGAGGCACGTAGGACAGATTGTGGATATGGAATGTAAATATTTGCATACTGAAAAACACTTGATTTGTAAGATGTATCTCAAGCTTCCTGCAAGGTCCCTAACACACATGAAACAGTCATTAAGACAAGCTGATGTTACTATTTCTCTTTCCAAATACATTAGTCATATTTCTCTCAACCCACCTCTAATCCCAATATATAGGCCCAAGAAACTTACCAAAGCAGAAAAGAGTAAGGAACTCAGGGATCATACTGGCCCTGCAGCTTGTTCTAAGAATGTTTCTTCAATTTTCAACCACAGGAGTGAAGAAAACTTGACGTGGGCAATGATGTCTTTGCTTCAGCACTTCCCTTCCTTCCTCTTATGTGCCCCACAGGCTTTTTTTTCACAACTACATTTAGGAAAGAAGAAATCATAAAATGTTCCACGAAGTCTTATTTCACGCAAACGCTTTATCTGAATACAGTCAAATTCAGGCCTCAAATTCTCACACACCTAGATGAGCCAGAAATGCCGAAATCCTGGATCTGAAGGATTCTTCTGAGAATATGGAAACAGGTTGATAGGGAGAACACTGAGAACTCCCTGGCCAATAGGAAAGATAGCTGGGCTGTAGAAATGAATGAAGGAATCAATAGTAGTGAATATTTTTGAATGACTGTGATGCATGAGGTGCTTCTCTAAGGGTAGTGTGCAGAAAAGGAGCAAGTCCATGGTTCATGCATTTAAAAACTAATTCATACCCACTGAACTTGGAAGAAGGCTTGATGGACACAGTGAGAACTTCAACGAAGAGATAAAAGATATAAAAAAAGAACAAATCAGAGCTGAAGAATACAATAACCAAAGTGAAAAATACACTAGAGGGAATCAATAGCAGAGTAGATGATGCAGAAGAATGGAGCAGTGATCTGGAAGACAAGATAGTGGAAATCCTCCAGTTGGAACAGCAAAAAGAAAACTAATTTAAAAATTGAGAATAGCTTAAGGGACCTCTGGGATGACATCAAGCATACCAACATTCTCATTATAGGGCTCCCAGAAGGAGAAGAAAGAGTGAAAGGGACAGAAAACCTATTTAAAGAAATAATGGCTGAAAACTTTTCCACCCTAGTGAAGAAAACAGACATCCAAGTTCAGAAAACACAGAGATTCCCTAATAAGATGAACCTGAAGAGACCCACACCAAGACGTATTATAATTAAAGTGTGAAAAGTTGGTAAAGAGAGAATCTTAAAAGCAGCAAGAGAAAAACAGCTAGTTACATACAAGGGAACCCCATAAGACTATCAGTGGATTTTTCAGCAGAAACCTTACTGACCAGAAGGGAGTGGAACAATATAGTCAAAGTGCTGAAAGGAAAAAACTTACAATCAGGAATACCCTACCCGGCAAGGTTATCATCCAGAAGGGAAGGAGAGGTAAAGAGTCTCCCAGACAAGCAAAAACTAAAGGAGTTCATCACTACTAAGCTGACCTTACAGGAAATGTTAAAGGGACGTCAGTAAATGGAAAAGAAAAGGTTGTGACTTGAAACAAGAAAATTATGAAAGAAAAAATCTCACTGGTAATGGCAAACATGCAGTAAAGATAGTGTATCAATTATCTATCTAGCTAGTTTGAAGGTTAGAAGACAAAAGTAATGAAATCATCTATATCTACAATAATTAGTTAAGGGATACACAAAATAAAAAAATGTAAAATATAACATCAAAAACACAAAGGTTGTGTGTGTGGGGGGGTAAAAATGTAGCACTTTTAGAATGCCCGTGAACTTAAGCAACAATCAACCTAAAATAGACTGTTATATACATACGTTGGTATAAATGAACCTCATGGTAAGCGCAAACCAAAAACCTATAACAGATACACAAAAAATAAAGGCAAAGGAATCCAAACATAACACTGAAGAAAGTCATCAAATCACAAGAGAAGAGAGCAAGAGATTAAAGAAACAGAGAAGAACTACGAAAACAACCAGAAAACAATTAACAAAATGGCAAAAAGTACATACCTATCAATAATTACTTTCAATGTAAATGGACTAAATCTTCCAATCAAAAGACATAGGGTGTCTGAATAGATAAAAAAAAAAAAAAGACATATTTATATGCTGCCTACAGGAGACTCACTTCAGATTTAAGACAGTGTGATTTCAAAATTGCTATGAAGCAGTGACTGCTGTGTGCCTCCCATTCTCCCCCTTTCAAATGGGAGTACTTTGGTTATCCCACCCCTGTTTCACCATGATACGGCAGATGTATGGAGCAGCTAACTTGTCTTTTTAGTTCATGAGTCCTGGATCAAAAGGACCCCCATCCAGACTTGATAATGATGACTAGATCTTGGAAGTAAAGCCTGATACCATTAATGGATGAAAAATTTTGGGGGTCCTGGGATGGGAATGAGCATATTTGTACATGGGACAGATATGAATAATTGCAGCCAAAAAGTCATAGTGCCGTAGGTTGCATTAATAGCCCCTGACTACTGATTGAGCCACGTTATTTGCTTTGGTCAATAACATAAGGTGCAAGTGGCGATGTATTAGTTCCCACCTAGGTCTTTCAAGGCATTGCATATTTGATTCATCCCCTTGTGCATCTTCCATTTCCATGAGAAGAACATGTGAGGGCTAGCACACTCTTACCAGGAGGAAGATGAGGAGCATGTGAACAAGAGTCACGTTGCCCCATCTCAATGCAGATAGAGCTGGACAGAAATAAGCTGATCTGAGAGAGATGGAGAGAATGTGTGCATACATACATACACACACTCTCCCATTGCTAGTTAGGATTGAACCTCTGTGATTTCAAATCTTTTTTATTTATTTATTT